TATATAACATAAATATAAATGTATATATTTATATACATGAATATATATATATATATATATATATATATATATATATATATATATATATATATATATATATATATATATATATATATATAAATGTATATATTTATATAATTATATACATGTATATTAGAGTTATGACTATTTGACTCTTTATAAAAAAAAATAATTTTCTGTGTCATAAGTCGATGAACTTTTATTAGAAAACATTGAAAACATGTTCAATTCCTCTCGGTTGTAAAAAAAAGGTCACCCCACAATTCAAATTAAGTTTCGTCATTTATTATAATTATTATAATTATAATTTATTATTATAATTTATTACATCTTGTTACTGCTGCTACTAATATGTGAGACTTTCCTGCAAATCATTTTAAACTTGAATAGATTAGAAGTATTTAGAACTTTAGAACATTTTTGAAAATAACAGAATATTTTAGAAGACTTTAGAACATTGTAGAACAATTTAAAAAACTCTGGAACAATTTAAAACATTCTGGAATTTTCTAGAACAGTTTATACTATATATAGCAGTTCATCTAATTTTATAGTTATTACAGAAGCAACACATGGCGTTGTACAAGCCTAGCCATAGTAGCATTCAGAAGAACAAGAATGTCTGGACCAATAATCTGGTAAAATTTGAAGACTCTCATAAAAAAAGAAGAATGGTCCCTTTAGAAGAATATTCACTGGAAGAAAAGTACAGAATGCCTCTCCAAAAGCAAATTATCAAACGTTACCATTTTCTTGGACAAATTTCAAAGAAAGAAAGGAGCAAATAGCGTAAAATTTCAAAGAAGTCACCAAATTGTGGAAGAATAAGCTGATTTTTCCTTATAAATCTGATCAAGTCATACAAGCAAAGCTTGTTAAAATATTGAAATGCTATGATGAATGTGTCAAGCGGGGAAGCTACAAACTCCTTGATAAAATTTTTGATATTACTAAAGTGGATGGAACAAGGTTATCTTCAAGTAATTGCACCATCTCCAAATGGAAAGCAAAGGAGCAGTGGGATACTCTACAGGCCAAGCAGCCAGTAAAGAAACAATCCATCCCTATAAAAGTCAAACTTTTTAATGAGTCATCCAACTCATCATCTTACTATACCGGTTTTAGTCATTCTGGTTCTGAGGCTGTCGGTAGTGAATATAAAAGCAATGAAGAAGATGAGACAACTCCTACACCAAGCAGAAAACATCATGAAAGCAAAATTGTCATCAACTTGGTGACATCCTCAAGAGTATCAATAAACAAAGCTGCTAACATATGCAAGCAATTGGCTTATGAAGCAATTGACATCCCAACTCCATGTCAATCAGCTATTTACAAGTCAACAATCAAAGAAGCAATCAAGCTGAAGGTAAAAATGTTTGAAAGTTGCACATAAAAAGTTGGTCCTTATACTTTGATAGCAAGCACATTGACAGAATGGATTATCAAGTGGTCATCCTTAAAAATGAGAAATCAAATTGGATGTCCTTGGCTTGGTAGATGGCAGGGCTTTAACTATTGCTAAATGAAATTCTAAAGTCCTCAATGAATTTTACCTATGGAATTCAATACAGATGATTGTTGCAGATAATACCAGTGTTAACACTGGAAAAAAGAATGGTTGTAGAGTGTTGTAATATTGCAACAAATGTTTACAGATAAAGGCATCAACAAACCTCAATTTATCAGTTGTCAACACCAAGTATTAGGTAGAATCCTCCGTTTGGTGATGGATGAAGAACTTGGAAGTAAAATACAATTGCCAAACATTGATTATCCATTTGTATCTCAACTGTTGGAGGAGTAAAAACAACTGAAAACACAGTTTGATAACGGAACAGAAGTAATTATCGAAACATCAGGCTGGAGAGCAAATATGAAATTTATGTTTCATCTCACTGGAATGTTCCAATTTTTTGAGGAAAAAGGACATTTTTCATTGATCAGGTTTCAGAAAACACATAACATCAGCAATGCAATGTGGAACTCCAGAGTTATACTAGCGATCCTGACTTTTGTTTTAATTCCTCCAACAAGGACAGTTCTGCAAAGAGTTTGTCAATTTATATCATATTACTAAAACAACTTTAACAACTTGGCTGAAATACTGAATCCATACAAAAAGGCTTTAAGCTCTTTGAAAAATCACTGGAAGCGAGAGCCATCCATACTACAGATACCCAGAAGTTCTCAATGCGCAGAGCGCTCAATCAAAGTAATGGAGGAAATTTATTCATCATGTATAAATAAAGACAAATTGCATCTTTAATTCCTACTGTGCAACAAGCAAGAAGAAGGTTAACAGTCTGAGTCATTTTTGGATTAAAATTTTATTTTATTACATGACTATGACATTCTAAATAAATTTGAATACATAGTAGTACTTATGTCAAAATTAATTTTTCAATGGCGAAGTGAACTATTTTAAAAAGATATGCAAATAATAGTTCATTTCGTGCTCTTTAGGTAAAAGTTCATC